AGGGAAAGGTCAGCTTAAGGAATCCTCTCAGAAGAGGAGTCATCATGTGAAGCAGGGTCCCCCAGGGACCTGTGCTCAGGCACCGGGCTCGCATAGACAGCCGTACTTCCCTGTTAAGGGACTTCCCACCTGTGCAGGCAGTACCCCAGGTTCCCTATTCTGTGGACTTGGACTGTGGGGAGCTGGCCGTTAGGCCAGCACACACAGGGGAAGCCCTGCTTTGTGGAGGACTAACCGGTCTGTGTCCCTAGACGGAAGGATCAACTTGTCCTGCACTGCCTGCAGCCACTTCCCTCACTTCAGCATCCTCTACTGGCTCGGCAACGGCTCCTTCATTGAACACCTCCCCGGCAGGCTGTGGGAGGGTGCCATCAGGTGAGAAGGGAGGTTTGTACAGCCTCTGCTGCTGCTGGAGCCTTGCCGGCCACTCTGCCTCTTGCTGGGCAAGTGCCCTCCCCTCCCTCTAGGCCCAACTCTCAGGGTGGGTTCCGGGGGGAAGGGAGGCCTCGCCTGCAGCCCCCACTGACCCGCCCTTCCTGTCCGTCCGCCCCAGGCGAGAGCACAGGAGCACGAGCACCCAGCTGTGGAGGGCCTTGGTGCTGGAGGAGCTGAGCCCCGCCCTGCGCAGCACCAATTTCTCCTGTGTGTTCGTGGACCCCGAGCAGGTTGCCCAGCATCATGGTGTCCTGGCCCAGCTCTGGGTGAGGCACTGGGGTCGGGGCTGTCCTTGTGTGGGGAAAGGGTGGCTCTGCCAGGGCTGTCTCCAAGTTCACTAATGCCCACAGTTCATCAGGCTCCTGAGGTGGAGCCCAGCAGGGGAGGACTGGCCTAGAGGCGAGCTCTTGATCCTTCTGTTCACTTCCCAGGCCCAGCCAAGGACGATCCTGTTCCCCACTCAAGAAGCCCTGCCCTCCAGGGCCAGCCCAGGGCCACAGCTGCCCACAACAGCAGGGTTAGGAACCAGCAGGGGACCAGCACAGCATGACCCTGACCTGGAAGGCCAGTAGCCCCAGGGCCAGCTGACCTGGAGGGCAAATGCACCAGCTGCTTCAGTTCTCTCATCGCCTAGATAAGCCAAGTGGCTACTGGATGCTTTCTCCTACCTGTCATTCTCCTGATCTGAGACCTTGCGCCCCCTTCGTCATCCCTTTCCACTGCTCAGGAACCTCCACGACCTGTTGGGCCTTGGTCGCACACTCCAGGGCCACCTGCATGCTGGCATGACTCGAGGGCCATTCCCATGGGCGAACTCTGAAGTCTGGCCGAAACCCTTCAGTGACGGCTGCTCTCAGCTCTAGCCACATTCTGCACCAACGTCCTGTTGTGGGTCTTAGTACACCAGTGGACTGTTCAGGGAGGGACGGGGCCATTGCTGCTGATCACAAGCGTTTCTGTTGTCCCCAAGGCCCACAGTGGGTCCTCATAAAGAATCTCAGTGGAGGCATCATGTCACGGGCCCAGCCATTTATGCCCCAGTTCTCAGGAATTTCTGAGGAAGGCAGGAGAGCCCACCCAGAGCTGAAAGCAAAACCAGGGTCCAGGAACAGCCCACCACGTGCCTCAGGAGGAGACAAGCAGTGGGACGAGCCCAGGAAGGAGGGGTGAGGGAAGTGGTCTGCAGGACGCAGCAGGCATGAAGGTGGGGATTGGAGACTAGACCTCCCTCCCTCACCTGCACTGATAAGTTGGCTCAGCACTCAAGGGAGAAAAATAGACTTTATTTACAAGTAATAACATTTAGAAAAGATCCATCCCCGGCCCTTAAAAACCTTCCCCTCACTCCAAATCCCCCATCCCCAGTGCAAGTCTAGGGACAAAGGGGATAAGCTGCTGCTGAAGGCACCCTATCCCCACCCCCAGCCCAAGACATAGGGCCCAGCTGTCCTGGAGAAGATCCTCTGGGTGGTTGGGCCCCTGGGAGGATGAGAGCCCCTAGGGCAAGTGCCCTCAGGTCTTGGACAGGCCTGAACGTCAAGAGCCAGGGTCCTTGCTAGGCCCAGCCACTAGGAGCAGCAGGAACTAGGACCTGCTCCTCCAATGGTCCCTTCTAGATCCAAAGGCTGAGGAAGAATAGCTGGACCCAAGGACCCAGCCACTCAGAGCCAGCCTCGAATCTGGTTGTGACGAAGTGAGTTTGCTCTAAGAAGAAATCAGGATGCAACGCAGGGAGAGCCCACACCGTCCAAGCTCCAGGCCTCCTGGGCCAGCTCTGAGGAAGTGCCAGTGAGGGGCCAGGTAGCAGGCCAGGGTGTGGCAGGTGTCACTGTCTAGGGGTCTGGCCACCTTGGCCTGGGAGCTGAGAAGGCACTGAGAGGGACAGAAGGACCAGGTGAGCGAGGTCAGTCTTGGGGACTCAGGTGGGGCCGCTCACTGGTACTGGCCCTTTAGTGCTTTGCCTGGAAGACAGAAATAGTCACGTGGCCAGACGGAACACTGCTTCCTGCCCCCCACCTCCCCTGACTGGTGCGGCTCTGCCATGCCTGAGCCACTCTGGGCTCAGCAGAAATGGGGTTATCCCCCCCACCTCAACGAGCACCAGACCAGGGCAGGGGATGCCCTGGCCCAAACCCCCCAACCTGGCCCTGCCTCGGTTGCCGCCCAATGGGGCAGTCTGGGGATGCTTTTGTTCTCATGGGGTGTTCCTCCTCCTGCTGCTGCTGGCATCTACCTTGCCCTTGGCCCGAGGGGTGGCAGCGGCAGCAGTGGCAGCGCTGGCTGTGGTGGTGGCAATGCGCGGCGAGCGGCGTGTTCCGCTGCGGGTGCTGGGGGAGGCCTTGGCCGGGACCTTCTTTGAAGCCCCCCTCCGCAGAAGGCTGTTCCCCAGCTTCTTGGGCGTATTGAGGATGCTGAAGGCCATGGACTGGCGCCGGTCAGCCTGTGGGCAGGGACAGTTGAACTGGGCTGCCTGCCGCTCCTTCCCCTGCTGCCCCGGGCCTCCCTCGTCCGTCCCCCTTCAGCTCCGGCCTGACCTGTTTGCCAGCTGGAGCTCCTTTCTTCTGGGCCTCAGCAGTGCTCTGCCTGCGCCCTTCGTGTCGGTCACGGGGGCTCATGGGGCGTGGGAAACAGCTGGTGGCCTTCTTAGACTGGGAAGAGGACAGTGAGGAAGACAAGAGGCATGAGAAGGCTTCCCTCAGCAGGCCAGAGATGCGAGCAGCCCAAGGCAGCTCAGGGTTGAGTGGACCCTGAGTCCGTGGTTCCCCTGCTCCCCTCCCTACTCTGCACCCCAGGCGCCCTTCCCACAGCCCTTCGTGTGCACCAGGCCCTTGGAGACAGGAACCTTCCCTCTACCCGCTTTTCTTTCTTTTTTTTTTTTTTGGAGGGTTTTGCTATAGGGGGGACGTGCTCGCCCGAAAAGC